TGAAAGAGAAACAGAAAGAGAAAATAAATGAGACGAGAAGTGTGTAAGGAAAGAATTAAGAGAAAGAGTTACGGGGACAGACGAGTAGATGATTTACTTACTAAGCATTACTTTTGTGCTCACCTCGTTGTTTTTCTTTGTGTTTACATGATCTAGGTGAGGACGCGATCGGATTGGCATCGGCAAGCAAGGAGCAATAGCTACACCGTCCACTATTTTTGATAACTTTTTGTGAAATGATATCTTATTTGGTAATAAGAATCTTTATATGTAATAAAATAAAATTTTGGGCCCATCTACTTTTGTTGATATAAATGTATTTTACTTTATGTATTTCTATGAGTATCCTAGTATAAAGGAGTTATTACAAATAGGTTCAGTTATGTACGCTATGATTAGCACTAGACCAAACCCGTCCTTTGCTTTTTCTCTGCTTAGTAGGTTTATGTCTAATCCTGGAACTGAACATTGGTATGCATTAAAATGGTTGTTGAGGTATATCAATAGTACATCACATGTTGGTTTGGAATATTGTAAGAGAGGTAGTGCACTTGATCTTGTGGGGTATGTAGATTCTGATTTTGCTGGAGACAGGGATACTAGGAAGTCAACTACCTCTTATTTCTTCACTTTTGGTGGAAATTGTGTGAGCTGGAAGTCTTAGCTAAAACCAATTGTAGCACTATTCAAAACTGAGGCAGAATATGTAGTAGTGGCAGATGTGTTTAAGGAAGCTTTGTGGCTTCAAGGAATTCTGTCAAAAGTAGAACTAATGGATGGTGTAGTGACAATATATTCTGACAACCAAAGTGCAATACACTTGAGTAAAAATCCTGTCTACCATGAGAGGACCAAGCATGTGGATGTTCGATTCCATTTTGTCAGAGACTTGGTAGCACGGGGAGTGATTAATCTGAAAAAGGTGACGACTGAAGACAATCCAGCAGATTTAGGTACCAAAGTTGTTGCTACTGCCAAGTTCAAGCATTGCTTGGACTTGTTGTTTATAAAATAGGCAGTAGTAACTGAGCTATGAAGGAATATGTAGTGGGTTAGTGCACTAATGAGATTCTGGAACTGATGGTAGTGTTTAAGGGCTTCAAGGTGGAGATTGTTGAAGTGAAACCTCTAAAACGCTTTCGCATGTGCTTAAATTGAATAAGTTGTGCACCGTCGTTTTAATGTGCTTGGGATAATGCTGATCGTTGATGGAAATAGTGATCCAATGGCTGAGATTTACACTTCAAGTCAATATTACAAGCAGCCCTAAAAAGTGCAGTAATAGATCAGTCTTCTTCTCTTTTTCATGAAAACAGAGTGCTCTCAAAAATTTTTCAGTTTCCAGTCCAAAAATCAGTGTAACTTCAGTGAGTGAGTGATTAGTTCTTAGTCATTCTATGACGGTTGTTTGTTCTCTCAAAGATTAGAGATACCAGGAAGAGTTTCTCTAGATTAGGAGTTACAAAGTGAGTTTTTTTTGTTGTGATTGAGTGACTTTGTTCTTGCAATTGTAAGTTCTTGATTAATTAGTGCAGTGAGCCTCAAATATTCTGGAGATCAACCTGGATGTAGTCTATCCAATCTTGGATAGGTGAACCACGATAAAAATCTTGTGTTTGTTTTTGACTGTGTTATTGTGTGGATTGTTTTGGTTGTGTGATTGATTGATATTGGAGATTGATTATTAGGCTTGAATCTTAACAATTATAATTACCTAAACTTTAATAATATTGTTTAAAGGCAAGTATATTTTCATTTCAGATTTAATGCAGTGTAAAATGATTATTTTACTTTTTAATCGTTACCTTAAACAATTTTCTGGTGGGAATCTGGATTAAAAGAAACCAGTGGTGAAAACTTGTCATTTCTCTAATTTTTGTGTGGGAACACGTCGCTTGCTCCAAAATATATATCTAAATATATATCCTAAATGATGTATTCTGGAAAGAGTGGTATTATTATTTCAAAAATAAGATTTTGTTCCTTTCTTTTTTATATTTATCTTATTTAATTAGGATTTTGATTTATGAATTTAAATTCATTTCTTATCATCTAACCTAATTTAGAAATAGTATAATATAAATAGATTTCTTATAGTTTAGGAAATTTCCTCTATTATTATTTTAAAAGAGGAGCCGCTTTTCCTAAAATGTTTCCGTTCATTCAAAGCCAGAAGAGAGACATGCAGTCAGTGTCGAATATTCCTGACGATATCATAATCCTAATCATTGATCGTCTTAATTATACNATTATTATTTCAAAAATAAGATTTTGTTCCTTTCTTTTTTATATTTATCTTATTTAATTAGGATTTTGATTTATGAATTTAAATTCATTTCTTATCATCTAACCTAATTTAGAAATAGTATAATATAAATAGATTTCTTATAGTTTAGGAAATTTCCTCTATTATTATTTTAAAAGAGGAGCCGCTTTTCGTAAAATGTTTTCGTTCATTCAAAGCCAGAAGAGAGACATGCAGTCAGTGCCGAATATTCCTGACGATATCATAATGCTAATCATTGATCGTCTTAATTATACAGATCGGATACGTTTCTAGGCTGTATGCAAGAAATGGCGAGAAACTACAAACAATCAACTTGTCAAACATGCAGATATATTGCCATAGCTAATGGCATACAATTCCTCTTCTTGTTTCCTCTATAACCCTTATCACAAACGCCCTAAAATGTTTTTAATAACAGTGACATTCTTGCTGAAAAAGTACTCATTGATTCAAAATATGGTTGGATTCTTCTCTCCAACTATAAAAAAGCTTCGTACTTCTTCTACACTTCCTTTACTAACCATCCCATCATTAAACTTCCAGAATTACATCCCATTTCTGGAGTGCATCGACATTCTCTACAAACTCTAGTTTCTCCGGATTACTTGCTATTTATGGCTAGAAAGTATTGCAGAGGTGTCACTATCAACATTTGTAAACCTCCGTATGAAAATTGGACTCAGTTTTGGTTCGATACTCGTGGCCATTGGTTTGGACCATTGAATTGGTTTATTTCATCGATTACAAATATTGCGTATGTTAATGGAGTCGTCTACTGTAGTTTCCCTGTTGTGAACGCCGTCGACGCCTTTGAAGTGGCATTAGGGGAGTGGAAAAGACACCAATATCCTTCAATTAATGGTGCCCCAGGGTGGGTGATTAATCGGTTGGTTTACTCAGGTGGAGATCTCTGCCTAATAAATCAGTTTTCTAAGGATCGAGCGGATGTTTTGAGGTCTGATAAGTCAGAGATGAAATTTTTCCGAGTTAAAAGTTGGGAGAAGTGATCGTTTTTCTGGGGCGAAATTGCTACTTGCATCCAAGTGGAAGAAGTGATTTGGAAAACACATTACACAACCAATACATAGCATCCAGTTATTTTATAAGTTATCCAATATGCCCACTATTGGTCTTAATATACATGGAGCCCTCACCTATAGGCTCAGCTTAATTTTTTAAGTGGGACTTAACATAGTATTAGAGCTAAATGTTTCAAGTTCGAATCCTTATATATCAATTGGATAAAGAAAAATGAAAAAAATTCCAAATTTGATGTGAGGGGGCCTATTGGTCTAATATATGTCAAGCCCTCACCTATAAGTTTAAGCTTTTAGGTGGGATGATAACTTAACACCCACAAATTGCACAAATTTATTATTGGAATTGTTATTGGAATGTCACAGTATTGAAGAAGTTTTGGATTCAATGGTTTTACCTTCTCGTCTTTTCTAAGAGACAACGCTTCTCCTTTCTCTTCAATACAAACTTCAAATCATTCACAAAAATAAATTTCCTCCTCCATTCAAGTTTATTTGAATTCAATGTAAAAATGAGTTTAATACAAGCTTAATCATGGTTTGAGGTTTATGTATATAAATTGTTTGAATATTTTTTTCAAACTTATGTTGTGTGTGAGCGCAATTATGTCAAACTTTTGTTTTTTGCAATTTTATTTCGAGTGTGTGCATAGATGGTGTGTGCTTGCATATTTTGTCAGACATATGCATATTGAAATTTATTTCGCATTTTATCGTGACTCTATGCACATTTCTTTTTTGCTCTAACATCTGCATGTCTAAATCATTTTGCGTAAGTAGCATATTTTCATTATCTTATCAAGATATTTTTCCTTATCTCATATGTTATTGTGAGGACCACTTACAAGTGTCCTAAAACCCACAAGTAGTCCAGGGAGCTTGTTTTTCCCTTTAGGTTGTGGTCCCAACAGTTTGGTGGAATCTTTTGCCCTTTTGGACTAACACATGTTAGCCATTGTCTGTTGACTTGAAAAGAATTCTTGAGCAAGGAATATCTTTATATTATCTTCATTCTTGCATCTCTTTGAACTAACCTAGGTATTTCATTTGTTTGTGTGCTTTGAAATTCTTTAGAGAGTTTATCCTTGTTCAAGTTCAATTTATGGTGTTGTGCTCAAACCATTTTGTTTACTATCTTTGATTGAATGGCGGCTGGAACGTGGTTCTATTGCTGAAGCTAGAGCGTGTCTTTAGCATTTGAAGCTTGGGAGGAGCTCAAGCTTGTCTGGGAGAGTTCTTGGTGTAAAGTGATCTAAGTGTGATAGAGCATTAAGGAAATCAGAGGGTGAAGTTTAGTGTATTGTAGAACAGGGGGTTTTACTTTGCTGTATCTAAATTCAACTCTGGATTAATTGTTCTTGTAATGTTTGATGCTTTAGTGGATTAGTTTCAATTTGGACAAGGTTCCATGGATGTAGGCTAAGAGTGGTTTTAGTCGAACCATATATATACTTGTGTTCTTCATATTTCATGCTTATATTTGTTGATTCCACTTAACTTGATAATGTTTAATCACCATGGTAAAACATTTCTGCTGTGCTTTAAAAAAGGGTGCCTAAATGTTGATTAGAGTTCATTTAACTCTAACATAAATGATTTGATTTGAACATGCTTTTTGAAGATTGGTTTATATTTTGATTTGTCAGTTAATTTGTAAGCCGTTCTAAGGTAATTTAGGAACAAAAGTTTGCAACCAATACATAAGAACCTCACATCAAATGGATATTGCACAACATTTTCAACATTACAGTAGCTATCCCTTATGCATTCCCTTATCATAGATTTTATTTTAACAAACAGAAATAGATCACCACCTCACTGCGTCCTCACGTTGTTTATTTTAATTGAGCTAAATAGCTCCTTATTACAAAATTTACTGGTTTTAGATACTTTTAGTAGCTCAAGGACTCTCTTTTGCTGGTGTGTTGGCAAATTTCCAGGAGGCACGAATGAAACTTTCATTTATTAATCTACCCCCCGCCACCTCGTTGATCGGTATTGCTGCAGAAATCTCTTCTAATTCTTCGTCTGTAAGTTTCACTCTGAATGAACCAATATTATTGTCTAGATTGCTAATCTTAGTTGTCCCTGCATAAAAAAGTAAACAGAGTTGTTATATTCAGAACAATATCCAATGCTACACAATACTATACAATATAGCGCACAAAAACTGGCGTGTATGTACATCTTCATTCTTCAATAAATTCAAAGAAGAAGAAAAGATAAAAGTAAGATCAATTTACCAGGAATTGGTGCTACATCATCTCCTTGGTGAAGAACCCATGAAAGTGCAAGTTGTGCCGGGGTGGATCCATGCTTTTCAGCCAACTCTTCCACACGTGTATAGAAGATCTTGTTTTTGTTGAAGTTCTCTCCTTGAAATCTAGGATGTGATGCCTTCAAGGAAAGTGTGGCCATCAGTTAAACAAGATTATTTGCGTTAGAAATAAGAAAAAATTATCACAGTTAATGCATGAACTCCATTAAGATTTATCAGAGGCAGTGCCATACCACAAAACTGTTTGCAGGCACACTTTCAACAACTTTCTTGCCACCAAAAAATCCCCGTCCGAGAGGACTATAAGGAACTATCCCAATTCCAAGTTCCCTGTAACATTCACCATGTCCAAAACACAGCCTTTAGCAAGTTGTAGTTTACAGAATTGAAGTAGAAAAGGAAATGATACACTTGAGGCCTACACATGAGCTATAAGGAGAAAAGTTCAGAGAACTTGAGTTCTCCGAGACTTATAAAGACAAGAAGTAACATAGCATATTAATAAAACAAACACAAGTTAAAATGAAACCTGCAAAGCGGGACAATTTCTTCCTCGATATCACGAGTCCAGAGTGACCACTCTATTTGTAGAGCAGTGATGGGATGAACTGCATGTGCCCTCCTTATAGTATCAGGACTAGCTTCAGATAACCCAATGTACTTTATTTTCCCCTCTTCCACCAGCTTCTTAAGTTCTCTCATCTAGGATGAAGATAAATTTGATGTTAGCTTAGTTTGAACTTCAAGCTAAAAGATCAAAACTCCATAGAGAAAATTGATGAAGAGCAGCTAATGGATATGTTCATAGGAAGAAGAAACAGAACAAATGTTGCAGCAGAACTTACAGTATCCTCAATAGGTACAGTTGTGTCAATGCGGTGCTGATAATAGAGATCGATGAATTCAACATCAAGGCGCTTCAGGCTAGCTTCACAACAGGACCGCACATATTCAGGAGTACCACATATCGTTTGAAGTTGACTACCATTGATTTTGACTACACCAAACTTTGTAGCCAACTGGACCTTCTCTCTGGGCAGTTGCTTCAAAGCCTGAAAAATATTAAGAATTTACCAAATCACAAACTCTTCCTCTCTTACAATTTTGTGATGATATCTTGAAAATTTAGAAACTTCCCTTACATATATATAGCTTAAGATGTTAAGTGCAGCCATGGAGAAATTAAGAGCGAGTAGTGTTTTACCTTGCCAACCAGAAGCTCATTAGTATGTGGTCCATAGACATCTGATGTATCAAAGAAAGTGATTCCTTGATCAAATGCATGCTTGATTATTGAAATGCCAACCTCTTCTGGGACTGGATCATTGTATATTCCAGTGAGGCCCATGCATCCAAATCTTAGCTTTGACACCTTCAAGACAATTGATCATATTAGAAACAAAAACATCTCTATACATATTTGCTTATTATTTGATGTTGAGATGATTTTACCTCAAATCCTTGAGTACCCAGTTTCACTCTTGGAACTGTGATTCTTTGCTTTTCAGCCATTTTCCTGAAACCTGTTCTCCCTGTTCTGTTCTTGACACTAACTTGAGAGTTGTCTTAGTATGCACAAAGATAAAAGAGGAATGAATATTTATAAGGAATCAGCAATCCCAAGTGGCAGGCTTATTCTTTAAATTAATATAATCTTGGGCCACCTTTCCTATATATATTAGTCAAAATTAATCAAATTTTCCACTTAACGATCCAACAGTTGCTCATGATGAAGTAACTAGTGACGTATTTGCTACCCCCGTATTTGCTAAGGTAATATGTCATCAACTCTCCATTTGGCATAAATTATAACGAGTAATAGTAGCCTTATAAAGAGGCATACAAAGAGTCAAATCCAGCTCTTGAAATTCATGATTACCTCTTTCTCTCTTTCTTTTTTCCTTCTTTCAAGGGTTGGATTTAACTTTTTGTATGACTCTTTGTAAGGTTAATATTATTCAATTATAATTTCTGATCATTCTAATTAAGATTTAACATATCCTACAAGTATGCGGCTTACCTTCGATTATTATTGGGTCTCAAGCCCAAAGGGTACTTATAGCAAGCCCAGTGGGTGCTCAATGGTCTTGGGCTTCAGTACTTTATAACAAACAATTAAGGATTGCGAACTCAAAAAGCTAGCTGATCCTATCGTTAATTATCACAAATTACCATATGAAATAGTAAGTTTGTATTAATTAATTTTTATGAAACTAAAAAGGAGCAGTAATTTAATATATTTTATGTTAAACCTAACAACATAAAAGCAAAGGCTACATAGTTATAGTCCTCCTTTATCGGTGATATTGAGGGCTACAACTTTCGTTATAAGAATAATGATATACTTATAAACTGAATCATACAACCAAACATACAATTCCTAAACTTTAATAATATTGTTAAAGGCAAGTATATTTTCATTTCAGATTTAATGCAATTCAAAATAACCATTTTACTTTTTTGATTATTACATTAAACAATTTTTTGGTGGGAATCTGGATTAAAAGAAACCAGTAGTGGAAACTTGTCATTTCGCTAATTTTTGGGTGGGAACACGTCGCTTTCTCCAAAATATATATCTAAATATATATTCTAAATGATATATTATGGAAAGAGTAGTATTATTATTTCAAAAATAAGATTTTGTTCCTTTCTTTTTTATATTTATCTTATTTAATTAGGATTTTGATTTATGAATTTAAATTCATTTCTTATCATCTAACCTAATTTAGAAATAGTATAATATAAATAGATTTCTTATAGTTTAGGAAATTTCCTCTATTATTATTTTAAAAGAGGAGCCGCTTTTCCTAAAATATTTCTGTTCATTCAAAGCCAGAAGAGAGACATGCAGTCAATGTTGAATATTCCTGACGATATCATAATCCTAATTGTTGAAATAAAGAGAGCTTTGAGGAATCATATGTTCTGTGTGTTTCAACTATACAAAGGAGGCCTCTGTATATAATGGAGAAGGCCAAAGTTAATAAGGAAATACAATATATGGAAAGATTCTAACCTAGCATAATTGCAGGAAAAATCAAATATTCTAGGGATATTATAAGATACTAATGTATATAGACTAACAATATTCTAGGGATATTATAAGATACTAATATATACTAACATCCCCCCTCAAACTCTTGGTGGCAAAGTCAACTGGAGTTTGGAAACAAGATCACCAAGTCAACCAGGTGGATGGGATTTCATGAAAATATCAGCAAGATTATCTTCAGAAGAAATTGAATGTAATTGGAGGACACCCTGTTGAAGATGATGGCGGATGAAGTGACAATCAATCTCAATATGTTTAGTACGCTCATGAAACACATCATTATGCGCAATCTAGATGGCACTACGATTATCACAATGAAGAGGAGAACTTATTGATTGAGGAACACCTATATCTTTCAGAAGCTAGCGTAACCAAAAAAGTTCAGATGTTGTATCAGCAAGAGCACGATGCTCAACCTCAGTGCTAGAACGGGCAACAATAGACTGTTTCTTACTACGCCAGGAAATCAAAGAAGTACCAAGTAAGAAACAATAACCAGTGGTGGAGCGACGATCAATAGGATCACCAGCCCAATCTGCATCAGAATAGGCCTGTAGCTCCAGAAAGAAGTGGGATGAGAAGTGCAGACCATGAAACATAGTACCCCTGATGTAGTGTAGAATTCGAAGAACCGCAACAAAATGGGTAGATCGAGGTGCACTCATAAACTGACTAACCAGATGAATAACATACGAAATTTCAGGCTTGGTGACAGTAAGATAAATGAGACTGCCAACTAACTATCGATAAAGAGTTACATTTGCAAGTGGAGAACCTTCAGTGGCCAAAAGCTTAGTATTATACTCAAGTGGACTCGTGGCTATCTTGCTGTTTGTCAACCCTGCTTTGGAAAGTAAATCAGAGGCATATTTTGCTTGAGTGAGATAATAACCATCCTGATTTGAAGTAACTTCAAGGCCTAGGAAATAGTTAAGATGTCCCAAATCCTTCATCTCAAAATTCTGACTAAGAAAAGATTGAAGATCTCAAATACCAGCAATATCATCACCAGTAATAATCATATCATCTATATAAAGAAAAAGAAGGATAGTACCTGCCCTAGTAGTGTGAAGAAAGAGTGTAGAATCATATGGGCTAGAAAGAAAGCCTTGTTGAGAAACCATTGACTGAAATTTCTCAAACCAAGCTCGAGGAGCCTGTTTGAGCCCATAAAGTGCGCGACGAAGATGACAAACATTATTTGGAGGATGCTCATAGCCAGGTGGAGGCTACATGTAAACTTCTTCAGTAAGATCACCATTAAGGAAGGCGTTTTTAACATCCATTTGAAAAATTTTCCAACGCCGGACAGCAGCAACTGCAAGTAAAGATCTGACAGAGGTAAGTCTAGCAACAGGAGCAAAAGTCTCCCATAGTCAATCCCATACTCCTAGGTGAACCCCTTAGCAACAAGTCGAGCCTTGTAGCGTTCAACTGATCCATCTGCTCGAGTCTTGATTTTATAAATCCACTTGCATCCCACTACAGTTTTACCATGAGGCAAGTCCAACAGATCCCAAGTATGTGTTTTGACAAGTGCATTCAATTCATCAGACATAGCTTGTTGCCAAAGAGGGTTAGTACGAGCCTCACGATAATTGTGAGGCTCGTGGAGGGTGGCAACGATAGAGAAATAGAGATAATCACGAAGATGAGTAGGAGGAACACTTACCCGACTAGAACAACGAGGTTCAGGGAGTGGAGAAGATGGAGGAATGGGTGGTGTGGCAGGTGGTCCATCAAACGCATCAACTGGATTGGGTGCAGCAGTGGAAGAACTGTCTGAAGAGCATAGAATCTCTGCAGAAGAGTTAGAAAATAGAGCAATAGAGGGATCAGTGAATATGAGTGAGTGGTTAGAGGAGGAAGGGGAGAACATGGATATGCTAGTAAATGGTTTGTGTTCCCAAAACTCCACATGACGAGAGACTCGAAGACGTTTGGAGATAGGATCATAACAACGATAACCTTTTTGAGTTAAGCCATAACCAAGAAAACAGCGTAACCGAGAACGGGGTTCAAGTTTGGTCTGTTCATGAGAAGGAAGAGTAACAAAACAGGCACAACCAAAGACACGAAGTAATGAATAGTTAGGAACCATACCATAGAGAAGCTCATAAGCAGATTTGTTGTGAAGTATAGGTGAGGGTACCCGATTGATAATGTACACAACAGTAAGAGCAGCTTCACCCCAAAACCTTTCAGGTAAAGAAGCAGAAAGTAAAAGAGTTGTTATAGTTAGGGGTGAGCAGTTCTAGGTACCCTCCATTTTCTGGAGGAATCGGAACCGGAATTGCCCAGTGCAGGTTCCCAAAAAAAGGAACCGGAACCGTACAGTGCAGGTTCTTCAATTCAAGGAACCGGAACCTAAAATGCAAGTTCCGGTTTCTTTCCGGGGTACCCTATAAAAAATCAATTACCCCCTATTAGTTTAAAAATGACAAAAATACCTTAAAAGTTTACACATACACCCCTAACAAATATACTATTTGGGTTTAGGGTTTAATTATAATGTAATATTATAATTAATTAAATTATTAATCATTTAANCATGGTAAAAATCTTGTGTTTGTTCTTGATTGTGTTATTGTGTGGATTGTTTTTAGGTTGTGTGAGTGATTGATATTGGAGATTGATTATTAGGCTTGAATCTTTACAATATATACTCCCAATTTTGGTCCCAACTAATGTAGTTGTTAATGTGTCATCACTGCATTAATTGTAAAATTTTATGAAGTAACGTTGTGCTTCTTACAATTAATATACATTAATAGCCACATCAATTGAAATCCTAACTATATACGTAACATCACTTGAAACACTAAAGATATTACTATAAACTCGATCATATTCAACTCAAAATATTAGATATTGAATATATTTAACACTAGTAATTTGTTCTATATTCTTCATTCCCTTAAGGGTGTGTTTAGGGATGTAGTCAGAATTCTGAGTCAATGAATTCAAAATATCAAAGTTGATAAATTTATAATAAAATATAACTGAAGTAATAAGTATAAAAATGTAATTTTAAAAGTTATACATACCAAATTATCAATTCTACAATTGTTCTCGACGATTTTTTATATTCTGAAAACGTTATATAATTCCCAAATCTCTACAACTTAGGGTTTCATAATTCTTTAAACCATTAAAATTAACTTAATAACTAACCAAAATTTATCAAACCCAATTTAAAACAATAGTTAATTAACCCATACCTCAATATGAACAAGATTAAATCAAAACCCACATCAAAATATAGTAATTTAATCTTCCTGTTGAGTTGAAGACATGAAATAGTGCGTTTTGGCCATAAGTGGTGTGACGTCGTTTTGGGAGCTGTTGAAGTGAATCCCGACTGTTGATTTTCTACAGATCCAATGGCTGAAAATCAACACTTGGTCAACACTATATAAAGGAGCAAATATTGGGAAATAGCTACAACTTCTTCTTCGTGTGTTTGATAGAGCAATTGCTTAAGGGTTTTTCTCTTTTACATTCAATCTTTATAATCTTGGTGAGTGAGTGTTTGGTTTTTCATTCAAGTGAGAGGGGTTTTACTCTCAAGTTCTTAGGGAATCTGGTTGTGTTCTCTAGGTAGGATTATGGGAAAGGTTGAGTTGTATTCTTGAGTGATTGATCTTTGATATGTGGTGTAAACTCTTGATTCTAATTGATTAGTGAGCTCTTCTGATTTCGGAGCTCAACGTGGACGTAGCCTACCCAATCTTGGATAGGTGAACCATGGAAAATCTGTGTGTATTGTTGTGGTGGTTTTATCTTGATTGTGTGTTAAAGATTAGGAAGATTTTCATAACACTTCCAATTTTAAACTCATTTATTAAACTCAACAAAAGCTTATGGCTCATAATCTTGCTCATAATCTTTCTTCAATTAAGAAAATTAAAAGAAAAGAATTTTAAGTAAATAAAATGAGCATCATTTTACCTTGTAATCCAAAAGAGTAGTATTTCTTGAATATCCAACTAAAAGGAAAAATATAATTTGAGAAAAATGAGAGGAAACGAAGAGAAGAGAAAAGTTAAAAAAGTGTTAATTAATAATTTATTTTATTGGGTCAACATGAAGTTAAATGGGGGTTAAAATTATAAAATCTATAAAACATTAATATTTTTTTTAATACTTTTTAAAAGTTGAGTGGGTTCAATTGAACCCACAAGTCTCTATGTGGCTACGTGCCTGTGTGTGTTTGGTTGGGGATAATGGGGGATTACTGATGTAATGTCATTTTATATTTACTTGATTATCATGTTTGGTTGTCAAGTAATATAAGTTTCTGGTAACTTCTAAAATCAATAGTAATTACTATTAGTAATATAGGAGGTAATCTGATTACCTTAATTTTCTTAGGTATTTTAAAATTACTTGATGATCATATTTTTGTTACAATTTTACCCCTTATTAAAAGATTTTTGGTTAAAAATACCCTTATTTTGAAAATAATTTATAAAAATATTAATGGACTATTTTATCCTTATATACAAATTTTTTAGGACATAAATACCCTTAGACTTTAAAAAAATTACCCAAGGGTGGTGGTTGGATTTGGCCACCACCGTCAGCCACCAGTCGGAGAGGGAATGGCAAATGACCAATTGGACCTGGGCGGCCATGCACTGAAGGTCATTTTCGGTAATGGATTTGTGATCCATGGACAGAAACAACCATATCTGGTTGTGAAAAAGCTAGATATTTGGCTGTGAAATGACGGTCGTTTCACGGCCACATATTTGGTTGAAAAAAGCTTTATCGACGTATGACCTGCCAAATCCGATCGCTCGTGCGCCATTTTGACAACTGCCTATGGTGGTGGCTGGCTACCTGTAGTGGCTTGGGGTGGGTGGGGTGATTTTGTTACAAATTAAAGTTTTATATGACTAGAGTGTTTTAACAAAATTTCAAATGTAGGGAGTTAAAAGAATGATTCAAAAAATAATATCATATTAATATTTAAAAATGAGGGTAATTTAGTAATTTATATAAAATACCTACCAATTTATCCTCCCAACCAAACATATTAATATAACATACTTACCAATTTATTCTAACCTAACCAAACATATTTTCTTAAATATTCTCAGTAATCTTCTAGGTAATCTATTTTTCCATTAATATAACATTCTTAGTAATACAACATTCCCCGAACAAAACACACTCTTATATTTATTTATTTTTAATTATAGGACTATCATCAATTTATTTATATTTGGGGTTAAATATAATTTTAATTATAGAATAATAAACATATTTGTTAATCAAGGTTATTAGATGATTAGTTAAGAAAAGAAATATCTAAAAGATTATAATAATATCACATTATTTACTTAATTCGAGTATCGATTTAAATGAAAATATTAATCCAAAATCTTAAAAAACATAAGCCTTTTAATCATTTTACTCATTACACCTGGCTAATTATAATTGGCAATTGCAGGAACCGGATACAAACACTATACAGAGAAACACAAATTCATTTTTATAAGGCTTTTGTACTGTGTAGCCATATCAAATTCGAAACCACCAATTTCTCGTGTTCGTTGATCGGATCACTCATGGCGGACGAGGTAAACTTTCTGTTTGGCTCCCCAGAAAGTAGAAACTGCTGGAAAATTAAACAAAATTTCAAGCGTACTTATTTCTCATCAGATTCAACATTTAATTTCCACGCCGTCGTATTATTTATTTATCACTATTAACTCGTTTCGCTAAATTATTAACGCAATCAATCTTAATCTCGATTAATTAGTTATGTGATTTTGCAAATTTTCGTCTATATTTAGGTTCATGATACGGTTTCGTGCTAGGTCTGGTAAACGGGCCTTCCGTGGCTGTTGGATTGACAATTTTATATGTATTCCATTTTGTTACAATTCGTTTATGTCAATTATGTGTACAAGATTTTAGGTTGCAAAAATGGGTGATCCGGTAACGTTACCGGATTTGCATTCCGGTAATTGTTAACGATTTGCGTGTGGTGTAGTGTTTTATTGGTATTGTGGTTTTATTTTTAGATTGAACTCAAAACAGCTCCTGCTGATTTCCGGTTTCCGACCACTAATCAAACGCGACACTGCTTCACTCGCTACATTGAGTTTCATAGGTAAAGTTTGTGAATTCTTGGCAGTTTTGGTTCTGATGGAAATGCTTTGTGTACTGTATATTGTGGTTTGTTCTTGAAAACTGAATGTTTGTTGCAGGTGCTTGGCCGCGAAGGGTGAAGAATCTAATGAATGTGAAAGATTTGCCAAATACTATCGTTCGCTCTGCCCGGGTGAATGGGTGAGTAAGCTGAGTTATTTGTATTTGGCTAAGTTACTTGCAATTCACTTAGTTGTAAGATGTAGCATGTTATGTGCTCAAATTGTGTCACTTATGGTGTTTTTGAAAGTCAAATTGTTATGCATCTAATGCACGAACTTTGAGTATATTGGCTAACTCTTCCATAGTTGGCTTTTCTATGTCCTAATTTTGAGATATCTGTTCCCTTCTGTGGAATAAGTAAACTTACTAGTATTGTCGATGGATCGGAGGAAACTGCTAGATAAAAAATTTCATGTCAAACCTTTAGGATGCTACTCTTTACTCCGTTCATGCCCGCACTCATATATGTAGGCAGAAAATTATTATCATACATTTGCATGTCCATATACGTATTCAATACTGTGTACCCACTAATATTCTCAATTGCAGTTATGCTGTCATGTCTAAGTTTCTGGGAGTTTCTATGTTGGACATCTTGTATCTGTGTAAAACTTTTGAGTCTGATTCTCGTATGTGCATATCATCAAATATTGGAGACAATCCCTGTATACATAACAACCCTCAAAATTGAGATAGAAATGAGAGGAATAGTATTTTCATCGAAGATCTAGTCCATAGCTTTATATTTTACATATTGATAATGGTGGTTTTCAATATCAAGTTATGTCATATGCTAGAATGCGTTTATGATAACCAGCAGCTTATCTGTGTTTTTGGAGATCCGCTGATATTTAGGCATCAAATATTTTGTTGAGTTGACATTTGATTTCTGATAGCATGATAGATCACGGGATATATGCAAGTAATACTGGTTTTGTTGTTCAGGATCGGACCTGAAATTTCTTTCTTGGTACTGTGGTTATTACAATCTGTATTTCTGATGAAACAATAGAGTTACTGGTTTTGCATTCATTTATTATTCAGATGATTGCTACAGAGAAAGAATCACCATGTTTGTCAGATGGTCATTTGTATTCCATGACCTTACTTTGGATGTTTTCTAATTGCTAGGGTAGGAGTGATTTGCGTAACTGATTGGCACAGACCATCGCTATTTTTGTTTAATCTTTTTTTGTTCTTAAATTGATGCAGGTTGAAAGGTGGAATGAGCAAAGGGAGAATGGGACTTTCCCAGGTCCTCTTTAATCTGGAGACAGCTTGATTGGCTCATTTTGGGAACGGGAAGTTAAATATTGCTCTTTTGCTGTTTCATTGGTTATCATTGAATCCTCTGAATCAATAAGGCATAATGGAGATTCTTTTGAATTTATTGAATGTTGATACTAAATTGTTGTGAATGGAGAAGTTGCTAAAGAACTTTTAAAGGTCTGACTTCTTTCTGATGCCCTTAATTTTATGATCCCGTGCATCAGTTTTGTGTTTTTGGTATGCTACAACCTAGAATTGGTGTGTGATATGTTTTGTCTGTGTGTTTTATCTGCATGCATGGTCCTCTCCTGCATTTATTTTTCTTATGCACCCCTTTGGTGATGCTTTTAGACTGAATAAAATTAATATAGGACTGGACAAGATTTGTCCTTAGTTCTGAGAGGTCTTGGCCTGGATTATGAGAAGTTGCAATGGGTGAGGGGGAGAAGCTAGAGCAAAACTACGTAGGCTTATACCTTTTGATCAATTCAAAGTGTTGGATATTTGACGAGCAAAAACCATTTTGGTTGAATTGCTGTTCTACATTTTAGTTAAAACTAGTAGTATTTCGTAGACTGGACCGGGATTACGTTTTAGAAACTGTAGAAAGTGAAGGGGATTTAGATGTAAGATATGAAGGCACCTAAGCAAGTTGGAGCATAGGAGTCACACAACTGATGTTGCTCTTAATAGTTTGACAACTTAGTGACCTCTCCGCAAACCAATTTCTTTTAGCTTGCCATCACGAGATTGATTAGAAATGAAAGTATGATTGTGCGGAAATGGGAGATTAGGCACGATGCAGAATGCCTGACCGGAACTCCTTCAGTTTCTCCAACAGCTTTTCGGAGAATTGGCGCAAGGCTCCGGTTCCCCGATTTAAGGAGATAAATCAAAGAACTGAGGATAAATTACAATTTACTCCAGCCAGGTGATCAGATGCCATCGAATCACACGAGGGAATCTCTTCTGAAAATTGTTTTTGTAAAATTTATCCTATGATCCTATAATGCAACAATTAATTGCTCGACTCAGACCCATTGTTTTAAAACCTGGATCGGAGGGCAATCCATTTTGTTGCTCGAGTCATGGGTCAACCGGTTGGACCGGTCGGTTGGATTGGTGATGTCAGCAATAATTTAATTTTTAAAAATTTACATATTAGTCCTTTAAATTTTAGTCTATTACAAAAATATCCCTCAAAAATTTCAAATTAGTCTTTAAAATTTTTATTTATTAAAAAAATGCCCCAAAAAATAACCAATTGATCCCCTAAACTTTTGATATATCTTCAAAACACTCCTAAAAATAACAAATTAGTCTCTATAAATTTGAAATATTATAAATACCACCCTAAACTTTGAACCAGATTGGAGAAGCTATCGAGTCCCGGTCGAATCGGTCCGACCTGGGTTTTAATACAGAGCTTAGATCATCTCCAATCACAAACACCAAATTGGTGCAAGTTTTACACCAAATTGAAATGATTTTTGGTGTATTTCA